GCTTGTCTTTCGATTGGAGTCCTTGCTTGAAGTTGAGATTGCCATCTTGTTTGAGCAGTACTCTTTTATCTCATGGAAAGTTTTCTAGTAAAGTTGGGCATACTACTTAATAATATGATCCTCTGTCTTCTTTAGTGCCATGAGTGTGTCCAGTCCCTTTGCCCTTTTACTATTTGCTATGACCTGCTCAATAAACTTATTTGCTAGTCATTTCAAACTGCCAAAGGATCCCACCTGGAGTTTATCATACCAAGCGTAGGTTGTTTTGCCCAGACTAGAAGCGAAGATTTGGCACATAAGTGCCTCGTTTTTGTTCTAGAGGGCCATGGCATGGCGGTAGTGGCGCATGTGGTCTAAGGGGTCTGATCTTTCGTCATAGAGTTCGAACTTTGTAATATTGAACTTTTTTGGTGGTTCTGCCATGGAAATCTTTTTTGTGAATGTTAACACTAGTAGGGTTGGTCTCTTATCTGTTGCTCTAAAAGCAATCCCTTCTGTTTGTTTCTGAATAGGACTTCAAATTTTTGGGTCTGGTTGGGTAACTTCTTCGGTTTGCTGTGTATTTTTGTTTCATAGAGCCCTGTGGCTGGTAATCTTACCACAAATGGCCTTGCGACCTGGCCTGCCCTGTAGGTTTTTCTATTCTAATATTTCCATGATTGATCTAGAGTGCTGTCTAGTCTGGTCCTGGGTTGCCTTCTCCTGTCTCCGGGTGTTAATAAATGCCCTCATGTCCTTTATAGGGAAGTCAGAACTCTGGGCTGGACCTGACCTCCTTGGACCTTTTCCTCCTGTTACTTCCCTTTTGTGTAGAAAGGATCTTACGTCGTCTGAACAGGCATAGTCCTTTGTTTGATACTTCTTTAATTTGGAAGAGGTCTGGCAGTGCCCCTCAAATTGGGACAGACTACTTGCCAGGTGACTAGTTTCACCAGCCCTACGGGTCAGTGCAGGTCTTGGGTTTGCCTCAGTCCATGTCCTTCCCTTAGATTGTTGTTAATGCCTCTTTCTTGGGGGGCGTGAACATTCCTCATTTTGCCCTTGGGGTACCAGTGGTTGGTTCTGATCTTACTTCAAGGCCTTGACTTGGTCGACAAGCTCCTTAAGTTGCCGGTTCATAGCACATATGGTTTGATCACGGCTAGCTAACTATTGCGTCTAATTGTTGCATTTTGAGTTTTCAATGGCAAACATGTTTCTCTCTTCTTGTTCGTGTCATTTCTACGACGTTCCGACATTCAAAAGCGCCTTCGTTGGCATGGGAAGAGGTTGCCATCATGTTTATCCTTTGTAAATGGGTTGGTGTTTTCCACTGCCATGGATAATCTGGAATTTCAGCAAGTGGAGCTAGGCTTTTGGTTGCAGAATTCCCACAGACGGTGCCAAATTGTGGTGGGTACAAATTGAACCACTTAGGCTACGGCAATTACGCTACGGAGATAGCTTGATTCTTGACCTGAAAAACACTTAAATACAGGTAAAAGGGGCAGCTGGAGTAGCCTAGGGACCCTCCGATGCCTAATTCAATGCCATAAGTAGATAAAGGTGCAGGATTGTCTTAGTAGGGTTCAGGTTGAAGTGTTTTCATACCTTCATTGTGCTGATTGTTTTCCCTTTTATAGCTTGCTCCTACTAACTGTTGTGGGTTGTTAGGCATCCCCCCACTCCTCACATCAACTCCCTTTCCTTAGGGATTGTGTTCCACTAGGTGCGGATTTGTAGGAATTGATTAAGCCTAAAATAAAGGAATGTGGGTTGACTAGGTCAGCGCCCTTCTTGGGCGTGCTTTCTGTCGCCTTTCTCCTATCTAAAAACTTTTTTGGCCCAGTCTGGTCTTGGGCTGCCAAGCTAGACTCAAACTATCTTGGGTTGACCTTCCATTTTGCTAGCGATACTGCCTTTTTACTATCAGCCCAAAAATTCTAGTCATGCCTTATGTTAATTTGGTTTTTTGCCACCCATAGTATATTTTTCATAAATTTTTTAATCTTAATCAACGGCCCCAAGGAATGTAATTGAAATTTTAAAAAATGAGCACCATATCCATCTATCTTTCTGGGAGCCAGCAAATAATGGATTCTTGTCTTGGATAGGTAGTAGTCATAACTTTTTGCTCTTGTAGAAACATAAGTAGTGTGGGTCACCAAACCACACATTGACCCGAAACATCGAATAATTTCCACACCGGGGCTAGACTTAGGAGAGTGTTGGCACAACACGCATGCTGTAAGGTTGATTGGGGACGTGTTCTGAATTTGTTTTTATAATTTGAACGGTTTATATTGTAAGATTTATTAAATATATTATGTATATAAAAATCAAGTTAATCGGATATGTGTAACTTCATAATCAAGTCTTAACTATTTCAAAATAAATTATCAAAATTATTCTAACTGTAAAATTATTGAAAAAAAAATGTTGTTTTATTTTGAATTTATAAATATTTAATTAATTTGAATTATATTATACTCGATAAATCCTAAAATATTAACGATTTGAATTAATATTATGAGTTCGGGACAAGGTCCATGGATCCCACCGCACCATGTTGTCCTTATAGGAACAACACGCTCCATGTTCCACACATGGACTCATGGGAATGGGTTTAGGTGTGGCCATCGGTGGATGGCTCATCTAATTCGCTCAGCCCAATTCGATATTTCTAGAGATTGAAAAAAATATTTACTTCATAGAGCTGGATTGGATAAAATTTTTGAACTCATTTAATTTTCAAAATGGCCTTGAGATGAAGAGTTTTAGGCCAACTTGTAAATTTTATATTATTTAGTTATAAAATAAATTAGAAAAATAATAAAGGATAAAAATACACACATATATATATATATATATGTATGTATATTTCTTTCTATAGTTTAAACTAAAGCACTTACTTAAAAATTTATATTTATTTTATAATTGAGTTTTATTAATATTTTAAATTCAAATCATTATTAAAAAAATTAAATAATTTAATTGTCCTTTTAGACGAAAAATCACCTAATAGTTCATTTATTTATTTATTTTGATTAAAAAAATTAATAGTTCATATCTTTTGGGTTAAGTGGGTTGGCTTGAAATTCAGACATTTTTTTAGGCCGGACTTGGGATGGTTAGGTTAGGCCCATTATCAGGCCGAGCTGGATTTCGAATAACACACATACTCTTACTATATAATGTTGGCGTAGCCGAACTTGACCCAGCCCGATATTTGTCCACCTCTAAATGAGTTCGTCTATTTATTGAATTTTTTAAAGATTTATTTACAAATATTTTATTTTTTTAGTACATCTGGATTAGATGTATTTAAAAATTAAAAAAATAAACTAAAATATTTAAAAAAGGGAATTTTTTTTAAGATCACTGATATTAAGATTTTATAAGATAAATGACATAAAATATTTTCATAATAGTTGGGGTGTCTCAACATTTTTATAGAAAAAATTTGACCCAGAGCAATTTTACCTCGACATAGAGAAATTTTGAAAATTTTCCGATATGATTACAGAGCAATTTTATCAAGGGACCTTAGTTAATGCATAAACAATATATATATATATATATATATATTGGATCTCTTCTATTACCCAAAGTTGAAGAGAGATGTTTAACCAATTTTTCCTTAAAAAAAAGAAATCATTAAAAATAACAAACTGATAAATTGAAAACTTAAAATTTGATTTTGAAAATTGAATCCAAAGAAAGATGTTTGGTTTTGTTTTTGTTTTTGTTTTTGTTTTTGTTTTTTGTTTTTGTTTCTGTGTTTTTAAAATTTAAAATAAAATAATAAAATGTCAAAACAAGGATTATATTCATATTATTATTTAAAAAAATTGTGTAAAAGTAACTTTCAAAATTTTGAAATTAATTTTTTAATGTTTCCTAAAAATTTAATTATTATTTTTTAAAAAAAATAGTTTGCCAAACAAATTTAGTTTCCCATTTTCCTGGCTCTGTCTCAAACTCTCCATTTACAGGATGTGTTAAAAATAAATAATTTTTAAATAGAAATTAGAATATGTGTATTAATTAAAACTGCATAATGGCTCACCCAAAACTGTTAAGTTACTCGCCTAGGCATCATAAAATAATAATAATAAATAATAATTCTTGTATTTTTATACTATTATGTTGTATATATTAGACATGCAACGTATTTGTATCTCATTTTATCCCCTTAAACAAAAAGCTGAGAGCCCCTTGAAGACTTCTTTTTTTTTTTTTCCTCCCCTTTAAAGGATTTCCTTTTATGTTCTTGAGCAATGGTGGAGGGATATGGATTTCCTTTTATATAAGTTTTCGCATATATCTTGTTTTCTTTATCAATAAAATTTCTTTTTGCTAATAAAAAAAAATGGTGGAGGGATATGGGGGAGTCCGGATTCTCTAGAAGCAAAATCAATCATATAAAAAATTACTTTAAAATTACTTAAAAAATCCGGACTCGATATGGGGGACTTGCAAGGGCTGCTCCCAACCAACCCCCCAAAAAAAAAAAAAAATTAAATTAAATCTAAGAAAATGTAAGGCATCAGTCAAGATTTCATTGCCCAAATAATAGTCCCTCAAGTTTTATCTGGCCCTCATTCTTTAGGGTCTAGTTTCACTCACCCCTACTTAAAAACATTACCAGTTTTAGGATTCGTTTGGGATGTGTGTTGAGCTTTTGACTTTTTAGCTATTTTAGTATTAGGTTAAAAAGTCTCATTTGGGATAGGGTTTTTTTGACTTTTGTGACTTTTATGAGAGAAAAAATGAAATGATTATGGTTTGGATGTGATATTTTGTCTTATTGGACTAAAAAACCTATTTTGTCTTTTTGGAACTAAAATAATCTAAAAGCCAAAAAGCCTGACGTGCCAAATGAAAGCTTAAAATATGCGCAATTCAAACTTGTTTACTTAAAAATTTATTCTCAAATGAACTTTTAATAAGTTGAGCCTAAGTAGTTTGGTAGTTTGGTTCGTTACTACAGAGGCAATTTGATTGATTTTGTGGTGCAGGAAAATTTGCACTATGGATGCTGCCACAATTATTTGCATATGCATTGAACTTTCCAATACAGAAATTCTTGCAAGCGCAGAGGAAAGTGATAGTAATGGCATGTGTATCAGCAATAGTGCTAGTCCTGCATGTTTTTTTTAGTTGGCTCCTAATGCTGAAGCTTGGATGGGGTTTGATTGGTGCTGCTGTCACTCTCAATACCTCATGGTGGCTCATTGTATTTGGACAATTGCTCTACATTTTCATCACCAAATCAGATGGTGCTTGGAGTGGATTCACTTGGCTTGCTTTTGTTGACTTGTGGGGCTTTATCAAGCTTTCTTTAGCTTCTGCTGTTATGTTATGGTATGTTTGTACCCTTTTGTCATTGTCAAATTATTGCACATTTTCATTAATCCATCACCAAATCAATTTAAATAATACAACCAAATACTTATTTTTTGACTTACACTAAATTAGACAATTAACAACCTACAACCAAACACCCATCCTTTTCTTTACCTTTCATTTCAAAACAGCAAAAAAAATGAGTGTTTGGTTGTTTGGTTTAAATCGTTCACATTTTAAAATGACATTTTTACCCATTGAACTATGCTTTGACTTTTGGACAACGCCCTCCAATTAGACCACATTAGCTGAAATTACAAAATTCTAGACACTAAAAAGATGAAACTGATAATTTGAGGATGAAATAAAAAAAGTGACGATACTTCAAAGGGATAAAAACGAAATTAACCCTTTAAATTTATATGGTTTTATGGCATTTTTTGAATTTTGTTACATGTGAATATGAATTTATTGGGTGAATTGATGTGCAGTTTGGAGTTCTGGTACTTGATGGTACTGGTGGTGATAACTGGCCGTCTGCCAAATCCTTTGATAGCAGTTGATGCCATCTCTATCTGGTATGATACTTCATCAGCATTCATTCCTTCTAAGCTAAAGCTCTTAAGTTTTGAAATTAAACAGTTGACATAAAAATATATATACATATATACGTTCAGATTTATATCACTTCCCACCAATGTAAAGGAAGCACAACCACGCACACACCAAAGAGAAACAATCACACAGATTTACGTGATTTACCCCAAATTGTCTTTATTCACGGAAGAAAGAGAGAGCTTCCACTATGAATAAAATAAAGAATACATGTGAGATGACCAAAACACTCAAAACCCACGCCACTACCCGAACCCGATGCTCCATGAGTAATTGAGCCCTTGCTTACCCAGTGCCTCTCTCAATCTCTCTCACAAAGAAACCGTATAGTCCACACAGATTATTTATAATACTCTACCAATGAGAATCTTAGTTCCATACAATTAGGTAACCCTATGCTATGTATATTAAGTTTTGTAGTAGATTCTGAACTCTACTATCCTAATTCAAATACATATGTATAAACCAACCTAATAATTATATGGAACCTACCTTTATCACATGTGGATTAATCCTAACAATATATACAAATGAGGACCCAAATATTTTATGGGAAAAAGTAGTCCTTTAAGACCAATTTCCTATTTATAGCAATGACCTCAATCTAGACTACAAATACTGCTCTTCATTGTTGTGGAAAACAAATTGGAATATTCCATTTGAAGGGATTTTATAACATGGATCCTTTGTATGTAAGAAAAAAAAAAGTCATAATTTGGTTGGAAATTTTTGTGCAGCATGAATATTCAAGGATGGGATGCCATGATTGCAATTGGGTTTAATGCTGCCATAAGGTGATCTTCCCTGCTTAACTTATCCTTACTTATCAAAGACATATGCTAAGAATTAACTTCTTCTAAAAACATTCCTAATTGCATCCTTTGGTGGCTGAGTAGAGAAAGGAGGTTGAAAAAAAAAGAGTTTTGCAATATTTTTTTCCAAAACAAACGGAGATTACAAAATTGCTTTCTTTGTCGATGTAGTCTCAACAATCAAAATGAGGATATATGAAGTACTTATGGTGGATTTTTTTTACAGTGTGAGAGTATCAAATGAACTTGGATCTGGTAATGCAAGAGCAGCAAAATTTGCAGTGATAGTGGTGTCTGTGACATCGGTGTCCATAGGAGTGGTTTGCATGGCCATTGTGTTTGCAACTAGAGATTATTTCCCATACCTTTTCACAAATAGCACTGCAGTTGCTGAAGAAACTACCAAGCTTGCCACCTTGCTCGGAGTCACTGTTCTTTTAAACAGTCTTCAACCGGTCTTATCTGGTATGTACTTACACAACATGGCTACACTTTTAACTGCCGTTTTCCAATGCCATTTCAACTAGGGTTGGGTCGGGTTCGCTTTGGATTAAGCCTAAAAATAAGAAATTCTTGTGCCCAAGAGTCTAGAAATCTCATCTCGAGTTTGGTCCTAAAACGAATTAAAAATTTAGCAAATTTATATATTATATTAAAAAAAAATATTGCATCCTAAGGTCAATCTTAGTAGGTATATTTGGTTTTTTTAAATTCACTTTTTACTGAAAAAAAATATTAAATAAATTATTTATGTATTATACAAACTAATATATAATAATGAGCAAGCTGAGACAGGCTTCAGTAACTATTCCTAAGCACGATTCATTCATTTAATAAGCATACCTAAAATTTCAATCTAGCGTAACTCTATAAGCTAAAATATAAATCCTAAACTGTTAAAAAAATAGGTTGAGTTGGGCGAGCCATGGGGCATGATTTGTATTGTTGCTTGCTTCTCCCGGTCAAGTATCAAAGGACTCCTTTCTACATGTTGACTCAAATATAACACAACAAAAGTGATGAATCTCACTATTTAATTCAATTTCTATCAAGTTGGACCACCAACTCTACTTGCTCTAGGAGTACCCAATAATTTCTCTAATGTGCCCTGATTTTTCTTTACTTGGTGCATCCATTCAACACAATAGCCTTGCTTAGCATAGAGATGGAGTGACACTTGTGCAAAAATTTAAGGGTTCCAACATTGATTGATGTCATCAGTTCAAGAAATGAAAGCGTTATCTTTTTTTGTTCTTTGTTTTTGTCTATGAAGGGGTTGCTATTGGAGCTGGATGGCAAGCTCTTGTGGCATACATTAACATTGGATGCTATTACATAGTTGGATTGCCTGCTGGCATACTATTGGGATTCACATTTCGTCTTGGAGTCATGGTAAGATACCAAAGTTATTCTATTTGATGCATATACATATATAGCTCTCGGGTTGTGAGAGTATCCGTTTTTGCAGGCCCTTGTTGTGTCGTCTCTCAATGGAGAGGTTTGGCTTCTTGTCGTGTGACCTCTGTGGTCATGTCTTGAGCTTCCTTGTATATCCATATTTTTTGGGTAAATCACTTCTTGAAAAAAAAAAAAAAAAGTCTCAAAGGCAACCAATTCACTATTATAGAGAGGATCACTCTAAAATTTCAAGACACAACAACAATATTTGTGCATATTCGCTATTATCATTGTTTCTGCTTTGCTAATGACTGACTACATGTGTATGATGAATCGTATGATGATCAATTGCAATGAAGCAACATAGAGGATTTAATTTTCATTCCCTCCTCAAACAATGATTTACTAAGGCATAAAGAGCATTGGATCTAAATAGTTCATATTGTCTCAATTTTATTTGTTACTTTTGCTTAGTATATATATTTCTAATTGTAGGGAATTTGGGGCGGGATGATCGGAGGAATTTGCTTACAGACAGCTATCCTACTAGTGGTGACTTCAGTCAGAAATTGGAACAAAGAAGTCAGTTTGCCCCCTTCCCTTTTGTGCTCTTCATTTCCTTTACCAAGAGTTAAATCTATGCTTTGTTCACAAGATACATGCCACTATAATTTCTTCTTTATATTTGGTTCAATCAGAATAAATGTAAGTGTTTACATGACTAAAATATGCAGGTTGCACAAGCAGAAACTCGAGTTAAGAGATGGGGAGGTGCAATTGCAAGTCAATGATTTCAACAAAATTTAAGATCCAAACATGGTCTAATTGCTAGCAACGAGAGAGAAAACACATCAAGGTGCTTAATGTTGGATCAATCTTCTATGTAGAATAAATAAATTGAAATAATTCAAACAAATAAAATAAATTACGTACCGAATTTATTTTACCGAACAGAATAAATAATTAAAAGATCAAGTCGAGTGTGTGGCACTCTGTCCTTAAGACAGATTCGCCTTGCTACGGTGCTTACGGACAAGTGGCGTCTATCTCCCAGGATACAATGATCTTCACAAATTGTAGTAGCACTCCAAACAACTTGTACGGCGAACAAAACCTTGTGTTCTATACTCTATTTAATTTTCTTAAAAACTAATATGAAGAGAATTTATGCAAATAAACAAAATCTGGACAGCAAAATGAAATTTTCAGATTGTTTTTTGAATGCCAAAACTTGCTGGAACAGCCTTCTATTTATCGGCAAAACAAACAGACCCGAACAGGTACAAAATAGAAGTGAACAGATACAGTTTGAATTTCAAACAAATCTGGCAATTTCAACAGATAACTGCATAGCAGTTAAATCTATTCTGGGTAGTTTGAATCTGTCCGCGTGCAACAGATTTAAGACCTGTTTGGACTGTTTAATCTATTGTGGAATTGATCTGAAAGAGGCACAATTTTTGGACACAGAATTTGAATTCAAATTTAATTTGAAATACAAATAATTTCCTACAAGAATTTTTTGAAAAAATTCAAATAAATTTTGTCCAAAAATTAATGTTAGAATCGACCCGACTCACAACTCGGACGGTGGCGATGCGCGCGTGGTAGTTTGGACTAAGGTTCACTTTGTCCATAACTCCTCCCTTCTACAAACTTGGAGTGCCCCTTGGGGCCAACCCAAGTTAGTACACCAAGAGCTTATATATTCACAAAAGCTCTCTTAAAGTTTCAATGTAGGACAACTCATTTTAAGGAAACCTATATTTAATTCTTTAAATGTCAATTCGACGAATCCGAAAATGACGTTAAGTTCCTATCCACTCATAAATGGTTTTGACGATCCGTCTTCACCGTGTGACTTGCTATGCGGCAAGGAACACATCACCTCTTTAGACCCACCTCAAAAGACGTGTGGATCCCATACAATTTTGGACTCAAAGTTGACTCACAATAAGCCTATAAAACCAAAATTTTCAACATTTAACATGCGTCACTCAACTTAGTGAAAGTTGGGAGGCAGTGAATTACATGATCTCACCCTAATTTCTCTGAAATATTGTGAAAACTTTGAACTTCAAAATGGAGATGCGACATGAAGTGATTGGATCTTCTCATTATACGTTGTAAGAGGAGCTAATTTAAGCCCACTAAATTATTTAGGCCCAATAGCCCAAGATTAGTGGGCCCGAATTTATCGCAAGTCCAAGATTGGTGGGCTTGGATTTATCGCCGTCAAACGGGCTGAATGGCTCTAAGCCTCGAAAGGGTTCGGATCCACGAACCTAGAAGTCCTAAACACTTGGCTTCGAACGGATTCAGACGCAATCTAGAAGTCGCTCCGTTAATGAGTCCCAGAATACTTGCGGGCTCGGAGCTTTCCGGGATCTACGCACCAGAACCATGGGCGTAATGGAGTTCGAACAAAGGACCCGATCCCGAGGACGGTGAGTGGAGACAAATTCACTCTTCGGTTAAACTAGCCTATACCCGGGTCGAGGTGGCACGACCCCGGGGGGTCCATGAGACTCGGCAATATTTCGCGGCAGGACGTCCTCTGAGACTACCCCTGACCCTTTGGGATGATCGGGGATCATTGGTTAGGTGTGGCTAAGAAGAAGGGTTCGCCGAGGGATTGATCTCCTCTTCGGGGTTTTCTCATCCTCGGAGAAGTCACCTCCTCGGAGAAGTCACCTCCTCGGAGAAGTCACCTCCTCGGAGAAGTCACCTCCTCGGAGAAGTCACCTCCTCGGAGAAGTCACCTCCTCGGAGAAGTCACCTCCTCGGAGAAGTCACCTCCTCGGAGAAGTCACCTCCTCGGAGAAGTCACCTCCTCGGAGAAGTCACCTCCTCGGAGAAGTCACCTCCTCGGAGAAGTCACCTCCTCGGAGAAGTCACCTCCTCGGAGAAGTCACCTCCTCGGAGAAGTCACCTCCTCGGAGAAGTCACCTCCTCGGAGAAGTCACCTCCTCGGAGAAGTCACCTCCTCGGAGAAGTCACCTCCTCGGAGAAGTCACCTCCTCGGAGAAGTCACCTCCTCGGAGAAGTCACCTCCTCGGAGAAGTCACCTCCTCGGAGAAGTCACCTCCTCGGAGAAGTCACCTCCTCGGAGAAGTCACCTCCTCGGAGAAGTCACCTCCTCGGAGAAGTCACCTCCTCGGAGAAGTCACCTCCTCGGAGAAGTCACCTCCTCGGAGAAGTCACCTCCTCGGAGAAGTCACCTCCTCGGAGAAGTCACCTCCTCGGAGAAGTCACCTCCTCGGAGAAGTCACCTCCTCGGAGAAGTCACCTCCTCGGAGAAGTCACCTCCTCGGAGAAGTCACCTCCTCGGAGAAGTCACCTCCTCGGAGAAGTCACCTCCTCGGAGAAGTCACCTCCTCGGAGAAGTCACCTCCTCGGAGAAGTCACCTCCTCGGAGAAGTCACCTCCTCGGAGAAGTCACCTCCTCGGAGAAGTCACCTCCTCGGAGAAGTCACCTCCTCGGAGAAGTCACCTCCTCGGAGAAGTCACCTCCTCGGAGAAGTCACCTCCTCGGAGAAGTCACCTCCTCGGAGAAGTCACCTCCTCGGAGAAGTCACCTCCTCGGAGAAGTCACCTCCTCGGAGAAGTCACCTCCTCGGAGAAGTCACCTCCTCGGAGAAGTCACCTCCTCGGAGAGGTCACCCCCTCGGACAAGGTGGTTAGAGAGAATATCCCCCATGTGCCTTGCACATGGGCTCCATCCTACATCATGAGGTGCCTATAAATAGCACCCACCCATAGCTTTACAACGGATGGATTTTGGAAATTTTTAACTCTTGGGAAAGAACTAATTTCCCTTCTCCACTATCAACCTTGAGAGCGAAAGTGGGAGATCCATGGGAGAGCCTTGCCATTATTCTATTCTCTAGCCATTTTGCCTTCTTCTTCACCCAATCTCTTATCTCCATCATCCCCTTTACTCTTGTGTTCTT